CACTTCCTATTGGTAGAAAGGTAACATCTTCTTACCAATTGCAGCAGTACTTCTCCGGCCAGAAAAGAAATACCCGTTCACATGGCAGCATGTAACTCAAAAGATATTTGGTTTATCAAAGCCGTCAAACTATCATTTGAAAGCTATTACTGGGGACTTGCCTACGCAAAAACACTATAACAGGGTACTTATTCAAGTGAAATTGAAATTAACACGTATTTTCGCAGCGTCGCGATTTAGAAACGTTAGGAGGAAAAAGGCATCTTGTTGAAGAGCCAAAACCTGCTGTTCTTCGCATTCATTCAGCTTCACGGAATTGTACACCGGACGTCTGTAATTAGCAAACCAAACAGTAGCCTTTTTCACTGGTTTGACTGAAATATGTCAAATCAGTGTTCGAATATGAATAATTTCAGCCAGTCGACCAAGGCTTGATTTTAGAGATAAGATTTATTTAGTGTTTTGCTACTGATTAGAGAAACTGAAGAGCGTCACATTTAAGTGATTTTCCCGGGGTGCTTGTTGATGTAACAGAGCAGGGTAATCTCCGGTACGTGGGCTGCGTGGGCTAAAGTCCTCAGCATTTGGCGTCTACGGTGCGGAGTGTCCGAGATGCGTACAAGGCGCTCAGCCACGACGGCGGATATGGTGATCGACCACTCCTTGCCTTAGACTGGCTGTTATACCTCTCTTTGAATATAGTTAAAGCCCACAGCGGGCAACACCCAAACTTGACTGCAGCAGCCACGGCTGCTCCACGCGTTAGCTGTCCATTACGAGAACTCTCAGCAAGGAACAGCGCAATGGACTCGCGCGTGGCTCGGGGGTGCCCTTTGTACCCTCCACGTGGCCCATCGTGAAATGGTAGCTTTCTTTTACGGGAGTAGGAGCTTGAGTTTGCCAAGTGTCTGGCACTCAGATCATTAATTGTTTTGTCCAATAAAAATTAAGTAGTTTTCTAACAAAAAATGGGTACTATAGTTAATCTTTAGTAAAACTACTCTACGCTTCTTCCTATTGTACTCATCATTGAACGTTGCAGATTATTTTAATATGCCACTACTCATAGCAAAACTTTTCGAGTTTGTACCAGAATAGAGCGAGGAGACTACATCAATGCTCTTCAGCATCTTGAGCATCTAATAAACTAATTGCGGCCCTACTAGCATGGTAATGGAAGTGAGTGTAGGTGAGGAATACACGTCGTTTATTATGGTGTTTGGGTATCATGGAGCGAGTTCAACTACGGTAAGAAAAAATCGAGTATCTATGTTATAACCGAACTCTCGACGTAGATAGCAATAATTGTTGGCTCAGTTCTCTTGAAGGCATGGATGCGTTGTAAAAGTATGCATCTTGACTGCAACTAACCGAGTGTAGCGATCGTAACAATTAATACGTCGAGCAGATCTCGACGTCTCATCTCTTAAAG